CCCTCAGTATTAGTTAAGTATTTGTGAGAAGATGTGACCTATATCGATACATGCTTTGTGCGGTCAGCTTTGTATTCTACTAAGAGAAAGATCTTAGAGATATGTGTCCTCATTAAGGATTTGTGTTGATTTGTGGGGTTTTAGTCTCAGATGTATATTGTTAAATGGTGATTATGAGACAGTGTGTTTCAGCTATTTTAGAGTAAAATGAAAGTAACGAGTAATGAGTTTGTAGAATGAATTACTTCTTCCCAGCACTAACTAAGTAACGTAATGTGTAATGTGTAATAATTACTTTTTTGAGTAACAATTCCAACACTGATCACAACAAAGGTGGGAAATAGCTCAACAAACATGCACAAATATTTGACCCACAACATAATAACAGAATCGGAATCACTAAATTCTTATCAGCTCCCTCCCTGATCGCACTGCACTAAAATCAGATAATCTCACTCCTGTTATCTGCCATCTTAACTAAAATGCTCGCTATTCATAGGGTTGAGTGGGAAAATTTGTTGCAGTAGCATCAGTATTATCATCAGTTGTTTCATGACTAGTTTTAGTAACATCCCCTGGTCTGTTTTGGGGGGGGGTTTTTTAGGTATGAGTACAGCTCCTGAGGTGGTTGTGGCAACTCACTGCGGTCTGAGAGTCTTTGGCCTCTCTTTGATCACCAACAAGGTAGTACACATCCGAGTCACTGATCAACAACTGATTAGCTATAACTGTGATCATTTACAAAGCTGCAGGCTACAAAAGTAACTCTGTTACAAAGACTCTGTGATATCTCACTTTGCTTCAGGTGGTGAAGAGTTACGAGGACACGGAAAGCGTGAACCACGAGGGCGTCTTGGAGATCGGCCGGCTGCGCTCTCACACCGTGCAGCAGCTGGTGACTGAGCTGATCGACAGGATGGAGATCAATAACAACGACAACATTAATAAATCTATCTGAAAAACGTACAATCACACAAAAACACATGAAGATTGTGTACATATTTCACTGGTGCATTCACAACATTTTTAGCACTTCTTCCTGTTTTGTTTTTGCTGTAATTAAACTTTATTTATATCAACATGGTGCCTAATATTCTCCATCAGGGTAAATCAGAGTGTAAGTATTCTTTTATGATATTTGACTTTAAATCCTAAAACTTTATATACCAATAACCGCTGTGTTTGAAGGTGCTTTAATATGAAAAACATGAGACACAGTTTTCTTTTTGTATTATTGTCTTGCACATTTTTGTTGTAGAATTGTATGTAATGTAAAGTATTAGTAAAGTATGTCACAGATTTCCTGATTGATGTTAATCGGATTAAACAAACTGCCACATCTAACGCTTTCCGTTTCCTACTTATTGTGATTAGCTCGTTTGGGTAGCTGCAGTTCCTCTATTGTCCACTAGATGCTACTGTAATAAACCTGTAAATCAAGGATATTTTACATGACAGGACACAGGACACATCAAGACCAGATCAGTGAAACTGCCCTTTCAGCTTAAAGAAGTTTAAATACACATTTAATCCCTGAGATATATTAATTTAAGACAAAGATGCTCAATTTCAACAGTATGTCTGTTTTTCTACATGATAAAGAAATGCTGCTGCTAAATGAAAAACTGGTCCACACAGCACATACATTACTATAGCAGATATTGAAAAAACAGGAATGTTTCCATCATTTAATGTTATTACTTTATTACTTTGGTATACTATAAAAGGCCACGGGGGAGGTTTTTATTAGCAGAAAAAGCTGCAAAAGTTATGGAAATACAGACAAAAGTCCCAAATGTATGCCCTGCTTCACATTTTCCAAAGCCAACCAGTGGGACAGA